TCAAACAAGGTATCGTAATATTTGGCAGTCCGACAAGTTCGTATATTCCGGGTGGGAAGAGAACGTGCCCGCTGAGGACTAGATTCAACCTTCATGTGTCTCATAGACGCATTCCAGTGAGCTATCCATCCGGTTGCTAGAGAATCCATGGGGTTCAATGTCTGATCGTCAGTGAATGAATTGAATATCTGGTCGAGAGTGGGCAGGCGTAAGATGGCGGTCAGACGATCAAGCTCTGATAAATCGTTGTAATCAACCCCAGTATGCGGGAGCTCAACGCCATACTGTACATGAAGTAAGATGATCACTTTTCGAAGGAAGGGGAGCACGTATTTGGCGGCAAGTTGCTTAAGTGCCTTCAAAATATATTCGGGAGGGTCCATAACACCCAGAAGGCTTATTCCATCTCTGATTATAGGGTCATCTGATTGCGCTGATGCTCGATATGTTGTGATAATCCAAATAAACATGCCCCTGATAGAATCGTATTGCCGACTCCTGACTTCATCTCCTTCATCATCTTCATAATCCCTTCCTTCATCTTCAATGTCGTAGGCATGATGAGCTAACTCGTTTATCAACCCGCTGGGGAAAAGGATATAAGTCAGCAGGGTTTTGATGATCTCGGCAACATAACATATGTGAACAATGTGAAGAATATCAATATTCAGGACCGGGACTAGACACAACGAGCATTCAGCAAGGAAGACGAATGTGTCCAAGGAGAGTAATGGATCGATAGTCTTGTTTTCGTTGGCAAGGCTGGCAAGTCCAGAGATTCCGTGGTGGCCGAGGAACAACTGGCATAACTTCCGACGGTGCATATCGCGAAATTCGTAAACTGTCTTATTTGCCGTGGTGTTGTGAAGGCCTCCTATAGCAGCATAGGAGAGCACGGTTTCTGAGAGAACGCGTAGGTGAGTTAGGGTGATTTGAGGGATGGTATCAAGTAATGTTTTGCCCGGTTCACACCCTACCCCACGCTGGGTAATTTCTACCGCCGTGATAGACGATCCAAAAGTTCTGATCAAAGTATCCGTGTAGATTAAATCATCCGGCGTGACTGCATTTTGCTGATAGCCGAAACGGGACGGTATTGAATTAGAACTCATCGTTGCTCGCAACCTCCGGTAAATGGCTATTAATTCGGACACTGTAGGGTCGACAGGAAGGGCGACTTGATGTAGGGGATTCAAGATCGGAACATCCTCGCCAGCAGGAAACAAGCCGGGCATGGTCATTCTGGAGCTGGCGGCGCAAGGGTCAGGGACGGAATGGTCGGTGTGACGAGCTGTTCCACTTTGTTCGACAAGGGAGAGATGATGTTCTTGGAGACATAGTCGACGAAGAAATTCTGATAGCCGGAAGTGTGTAGCTTGTCACTCTCCATGATCAAGGCATGGCTGCGAAACCGAGAAACAGACTGCACGAGCTTCCCTTCCAAGAACTCTTCAAAGGTCTCATTGGTGGCTAGCACATTGGGATAGGATTCTTCTTTCCCCTTCCAAATGATTGGCAGGAAAGCATTCCCCAATGCTTTGCAGAGCGGGCAGACAAATTCCTTTAGCATCAACCGCTCGGGATGGTTGCGAGCAACTTGATGGCTGTGACGTCTATAGGTTGCAGCGCAATACGTCTCGAAACAGGTGTAGTGCATGATATGCCCACAGCCCGTCATAATGGGTGATCTGACAACCTGATTTGGAGGAAAACCACTCCCAAGACCTTGCTTTTCCGTAATAACCTCTCCTCCTGTTGAATCCAGCCGGCGTACCTTTTCACGGTTCTCGCTGGCCATGCCAAATGGGCGAATTGCATCTGCTGGTCGGTCCAAGCTCGACGGACAATTCATGGCTTCTCTTACATAACTCGCATCTCGTACGTCGGTTTGCCGAAACATCGCACTGTCCATCATCAGGGCAAAGGTTCCGTACAATCGCGAATCGTTCGTCTCTTCCTGGCACAGAATACAATTTCCCGTAGGGTATTTCCATAGCTTCTTCTCTGTCGAACTAGGAACCGATGCTTCCTCATCCGCGCTCAAATCCTCCTCACCCCAGTCAATGTCGGCTTGATTGCTCAGGAAATTTTGTTGTTGTTGCTGGAATTGGGCCATAATCTTCGCCTGCCTATCTAGCGCACGTTTCTTCTTCAGGTCCAGTTCGCTATCTACCCCAGGTGCGGGTGAGGGTGATTCAATGGTGTCGTAGGGAAATTTGAGACCCTCCGTTGCTTCGACATATGTCTGAGGCCTCTTTTGCCAAAGACGCTTGAGAATATGGCAAATTTTTGGACCGCAGGACTCGAACTCGGGCACGGTCGAAATATGTTGGAGCAGACCGACAATAGTGAGCTCGCCGAGCTGCGTAGACTTGGATCGGCAAAGAGCGTGCGAAGTAAATGATTTCGTGACACTCTCCAGTATAATATTCTCTTCGCTGGTAGCGTCTTCCATTACCGCCAAAAGCAATAAATGCAAAACCATATGAAGCAAAGCTTCGACTCTGGTTGCCGTAACACCAGGAGTACAGATTTTAAACATCAAGCAATATTCAAGACATTGGTGTATAATCTGAGCGAATAAAGGTGTCTGCGTGAACTGAGTAAGATTTGCAAAAAGCCCGTTGGGTATTGGTTTCAATTTCGGCTCGAAGACAACATCAGCCGCTTTCTTGCCAGTCTTTTTAGCCATCCATTGTTTGAAAATATTTTCAGCCTCGTCCCGTTGATTTTTGCTGTAATGCGCGACATACGGGTCGATATAATTTATGAAATCATCTTTTATTTCGAAGATACCAGTATCATTCAAGCCGTCTGGCGGGCGGAAAATTGCGACCTCCGCAAGCACTTCCTGGAAATCATCTAAATCTGCGACTTTGTCACTGATACGATGCACCAGGTCTGAATATGATAGTGGCTTAAAGCATAGGGC